AGCATCCTCATTAAGTTATAAACAAGAGTTACTTTACCATTAAAGCCCAATGTGACATATATGTCACATTTCAGATCATTGACACTAGGGAGGTTACTTGTCAGAAATGGGTTCTGCATGGTCTATTTTGTCTGAATTAGGTTCCCCATCATTTTCCCAAAAGTAGAAATGGGTCCAGTTTCTTAAGGGTTTCAAAATAAAAAAAATTATAAAAGTCAACTCACCATAAAGGACGTTTATTATTCACAATTAATGTGAAATGAAAGACTTACACAAAATATCAACATTTCAATTTCTTTAGCATTCTGAGTTCATTGATAGGTGTCGAAAAATATACCAACACCTGTCAGTATATTTCTGTATAATGAAATACAATTTAACCTCCCCACAAATGACCAAAAACTGATCAACATTATATCATCATCATCATCATCAGCTTTTATTTGAAGAGACTCTTGGTCCATTATTAAAAGACATACAAGACTCAAATATAAATTAAAAAAGGCAATTATACCAATGTTTTCCACGGAGGTGACTGGTATCGTACAGTACTGAGACACGGATTTGAAAGCAGCATAATGACAGTTATGAGAAACATTCAATCGACAGATGAATTTGTACATCAGATTTCTCAAGAGAGCATGGAACGTGTTGACTCGTGCGTTACAGAACATTTCACTTGCACTGCACCACCTTGGTTTTCCAAGCAGTATACACAGACAGTAATTATAAGCAACCTGGAACTTCTTGAGGCTCACCTTCTTAAACTTGACCCACAAGGGGGCAGTATAGAGAGGAGTACAATAAGCTCTAAAGAGGTTCACCTTAACCTTATCTGAACACCAAGATAATTTTCTAGCCAACATGTTAGCTTGTGTATATAAGACACGCCGCTGTCTATACATGTCATCATCATCAATGATATATATCGATACTTTCCGATGTGTTGATTCAGTTTTGAGGCCATAATTCATAGTGTTATAAAGCACATCATATCTAAACGCTTGTTGTCACGCTTGTGACCAACAGTCTTCATATTTGACAGACCAAGCTCTTTGTGCACAACAAAGATGGATACATGTTTCGTTGTCTTAATAATGGATGGTCTTAATGCACAATACGTGCACATGGGAAAGTAATGATATGAAAGGAATACATTCAGACAATGAGGTAAAAAGGGGAACATAAGAACACTATTCATCATACTTTGCAAAAATGTACCCTATGCTTTTTAAAATTGTATCTAACAAGGTGTTGATCAACATGCGAGTTTGTTACAATACTACAAATGTGTTTATTGTAGTCCACCTGTGCATCTCTAACATGTTGTAAGGATGTCTGTCCAATAGATGGCAGGATTGAGATGAATTCAGATTCTCATTAGCTGACTTTCACTTTCATTTTCAATCTTAAACAAATGTTTATATCATAAAGTTTGATATATATTGTATTCATTCAAATTGTATCATTATTATACATCATTTAAAACCACATACTGTAAGTACAATAGTTGATTCAGTCAGTTTTGATTAAAAACAAAGTCAGTGCAGGTTTGAAAGTTTCAGAGTAACTCATTGCATGCCGATGATCAATTATTTGTTACAAGAACATGAAGATAATGGTTTCGATTCCTTCATTTATTTTAAATGTTCAATAGAAAGTGAAATGAAAGAGGAACAAGGAAAGAGAACACTGGGAACGGCTCTTGTATACCTCTCTGTAGCCAAATGAGCTCATCAAGAAACCATTTGTTATATCCGGAGATTTAAATGTGTTGCATACACACAGCCAACATAACTTGAAAATCTCCCTAGGAATAACCAGAAAGTGATTTTGGTTTCTATGTCTGTACACATTTGATAGAGAAATCCTTCAAAAATAAATGCTATGTCTGAAATATAATCTAAAAGTCCATGGCAAAAGTAAACACAATACAATAATTCACATTCAATATCTTTTTCAATTTGACTTTTTGTTTTATTGCATGTAAAAAAATCACAACAGCAGTTAAAGGTTAGTCATATGATCGTTTTTGACTGAATGAAGTAATATTGACAGTGCTTTCCTATGGCATGATGTATAAAGTTGTGGAAAAACAATTTAACACACAGACACACAGAATTACAATATTCACAGAATGATCAAAACAGTATTCACACAGTGCTCAAAAAAGCGTTACATTTTTACGTTGAATTGTTCGTGTTAGACTTTCAAATTAAAAACCTTCAAACTTTTATAACGTTTTTTTTCCAATCAAATACGAAATGATTAACGCCGATATCTACAATTAGAACAAAGCTTATACGTACAATAGTGAGCTGCTCCATTACAGAGCAGGGTTCAGAACAAAAACCACGTTCCCTGAAAATATTGTTGCATCAAAGAAAGCCAGTATCAGATTGAAGAATGAAACCAAAAACAGGCCTGAGAAGATTAAGATAAGTGTCCATTGTTAAAAAACGTCCACATTGCTGCCAAAAGTTACACAACATCCTCATGACCGACAATAAAGAGGAACACACTTTTGAGTAAATAAGTGATACGTGGAAATCATGTGACATGGGGAAGCGCCACCAAAATGGTTCTAGTGATCTTTGTTCCTGGTTAGAATAAGGATATGAAATTAGCTGGGCCTGAATGTTCCGCAGCAGCGAGGGCTAACATCGGATTTAAAGATAAGTCGAGGTCGCGATAACTGAGATTGTCTGGCACATTTCTGCTTTTGAATGGTTCCTATTTACCGTAAGAAACATACAGTATATTTTCTAACACACTATTGTACTTAACCCTTCACACATGTTACGCTGCTTATCAAGTCATGATCGTATAAAAATAAAAATCTTTACCATCAGACAAATAAACTTCAAACATTGCCNGATTGCGTTGCCAGGCAACAGCTTCGGTTCATGTTGATTTACAAACTCTTTTTCGTGAGGCCTTCTAACATGTTTTTAAATATAACTACGGTTGTAGTTGAAGAGTTTGTAAATCAACATGAACCGAAGCTGTTGCCTGGCAACGCAATCACACAACGTCACGTCCGTTAATTCCACATCCACCTGGATTAACATCGATTTAATACATTAAAGTAGCCTTTGTTTCTGCTAAAAGAGGTGTCGACCAGCTGGGGCAACAAGAAAATGTTCACAACCTATCAATGTCGTTTAATCAACAAGGATAATCTGGTGTTTTTTAGTTGATGAGTAGTGGAGATATCACTGTCAAATCAATTGACAGTAAGGAGAATACTTACTTCCTGGTGTACAATTCTCTGTTATCCAATGGGAATGGACGCTCACATTGCCTTTAAGGGCAGCCGACACAAATGAATGCCGTGCTTCCATGAGCGTCAAATCCCGCCGCAGATGGGAATACATTGCAATCAGTTGAAAGCTATTTGCGTCCCTTTATGAAGCTGAAGGAGCCTAGGAGCTTCCCAACTGCACGCCTCGGGACCCTGACCAAGCGTCGCTCCTGGACGTTTATGGAGTGAGAGTGTGTTGCCTTGTGAGCGCCTTTTGTTATTTCCAGTACCTACTCTGTTAAGAGGGATTACCTGATCTGTGAAATTAAAATTACATTTTCTTTTACATTCAAGACTTTGTCTCTGGGTCGTGCATTTGGGTTCATCAGTTTGTGTCGAGATCCTGACAGCCTGTAATGCTTGCCAAAAAAACGTAGACTTAAAGATGAAAAATCACTGTCATCGCTATAGCTGCCTATAGAATGCATACAGATAAGATCAATTAGTTTAATATTACAGTACCTTTAATTGAATAATTCCACTCAAGACTTACATTTCAGCATTTAACAAATTGTATTAAAAGACAGTGACAAAAATATATCGAGCTTTGAAAAGGAACTAAAAACCTGAATCAATGCCTTCTGATAATAACAATCACATTACATTATCTGTAATAACATTAAAGTATTTCATTATCTTGTGGGTTTGCATTATATGTTGAATCTTCTTTTGAATCTTATTTTGATACTTACCTTTTCATCCAAGGTATTTTTTTACTCACTCCCAGTAACAGCTTTTAAGGCCTTTGTCAGAATATTACTTATTATAGTAATAACTAAACGAAAGATGTGTGACCTAAACACAGAGAATCTTAATTAAATGTGTAGCACCAGATTGGGATTGTGTGACATAATTCTGTGGATGCTACTGTAGATATGTTGGCGGGCCAGCCATGAGTGTATCAAAAGACAAACCCAGATCAGACATTAGGAAAGTAGGAACATATTTTACAGTTACAGGGCAAA